CCTTCTGCAGCTGTTCAGCTGGAGTGGTCACTCTGGTCAAGGCCACTGTAGCCATGGGCAGGTCCCTTTGCCCCTAAGAGAGATGTGGGGTCTCTCTGCATCTCTTCGGCTAGAGTGAGTCACTCCAGTAAGGTTGTTGAGGTTGTAGGCAAGACCCTGCACTCCCAAATAAGATGTTAGGACTCTCTGAAGATTCTTGGTTGATGTGGACCATTCTGGGTGAGGCCACTGCAGTTTTGGGTAGGCCCCTGTGACCCCAAGAGAGGCACTGGGTCACTGTGAAGCTCCTCAGGTATGATGGGCTGCCCCACATGAGGTCTCTGGGGATGTAGGGAGGCCACTGTGTCCCTAAGTGAGGTGCTAGATTCCTCAGTAACCCCCTCTGCTGGGGTGGGCAGCCTGGGAGGACTCCCTGGTGCTGCTGGTGGGGGTTTGTGCTCCAAAGAGAGGTGTGTGGGACATCCATAGCCTCCCCCTGGGGTGTGGCTCTGTGCAGGTCTATTGGAGCCAGGAGGCAACTCAGGCCAACTTTAAGAGTGGCAAGGATGGTTTACTGAATAGGGGAGGGATGCCCACAGTGGCAGAATGCCCCAGTCAGTAGGCTTTCTGGCTCCAGAAAGTGCATGCGCCAACCCCATCTGTCCTGAGGGTGGCCCTTTCGCTTTACAAACTAAGAAGCCAGGAGACATTAACAATACATAATGAGACATTTAAATGTGTCTATCACTGCTAATGTATTAGTATATTAAAGTTAATCCAGAGAAGTGAATTTAACTAATATAATTTATTAACTATGAAACTGTGGTAGGCAGAATAATGTCTCTCATTCTAAATCCCAGATCCTGTATTATGTTGAGTTACATGGCAAAAGAGAATTAAGTTTCATATGAATTTAGGATGAAACTAATCAATAAACCTTAAAATAGAGAGATTATCCTGGTTTATTTGGATGGCTCAAATGCATTCACAAGTGTTCTCAAAAGTGGAAGAGGAAGGCAGAAGAAGGAAGTGAGAGGAAAATGTAACTATGGCAGAAAGTAGCATTACTGGCTTTGAAGATGAAGGAAAGGGGATTCTAGAGGCTGGAAAAGAAAGAAAACAGATTTTCTTCTAGAGCTTTCAAGAATAAATGCAGCCTTCTCAACACCTTGATCTTAGCCCAATGATACCCATGTGGAGCTTCTGAACTACAGAACTGTGCAATAATAATAAAGTTGTGCTGATTTAAGCCATGAAGTTCATAGTAATTTTTTGTAGCAGCTATAGAAAAGTAATATGTTCTGTATCCAAAAAAGGGTATTTTTTAAAATTTTTAAGTATTTGTATTTTTACATTTTCACAAAATACAAAAAATAAATTTGTATTTTTAGGTACCTATGGATCATATGGACATTATAACTCATTACTGAGGAAATTTAAAAAGCCACATTAATGAGAAGATATATTTATAATATTTATGTCATGAATATACAATATTATAAACATATCAAATATTTCTATATGAATATATAGATTCAGTGCAATCAGATAAAAAATCCAAGTGTGTGTAAGCTGAGAAACTATTCACAAGTTCTTGAAGGCAATGCAAAATCCCAGGAATGGCAAGGAAAATACTGAAAAAAAAA